AGAGAGAGAGAGAACTCATTCAGAGGCATCTCACCCACACAAGTTCGCCAAGCACAAGAACACCTCAACCTCAGGAGGTTGTTCTTCCCCTTGTACTGTTCATCATCCGCCCAAGAGGCAATCCACCACCACCACACTGGAGTAGGGTATTACACCACAACGGTGGCCCGAACCAGTATAAATCTTGTGTCTTTGTCTTGCGAGTTCGTCGAGTTCGTCTGCGAGACCTTAGAGAGTTAGGGCGTGGATCGATAGGGAGGAAACCTTCGCGCGCACCCCAGTGTTTGAATCTTGAGGGTTTTGCCGGAACCCGTAATCCGACATTATCTTTTAGAAAAATTTGAACAAAAAATACACATACATCCAAAAAGCGTAAGTACATGGGTGTAGATTTTTAAGATGAGATACAGTAAAAATGAGAGCTATAGAAAAAACAAATATGTGGCTTTTCATCGCATATACTGTTCATTCTCAAACTCCATCATTTTTTAACTCGCAATTCAAGGTATTTGATCATTGAATTTTTCACATATACATTTCATCCACGTATATGTATATTATTATTTTCAGAATTTATTGAAACTAAAAAGTTTGAATTTTGAATTTTCCAAAATTATGGCCTCCATGGAGCTGGACCTCCAAAACGCCCTACTCCTTTTTCTGCTATAATTTGGAGAAAATAATACTGTACAAGTTTCTCAAAAAAAAACTGTACATTAGATCAAACATACACATATTATTCCATGCATGCGACTGCATAAAGCGAGTACTACAGCACTACTCCTTACTTGCGCTAAGCCAGGCCTGCACCTTCTATTATTTCCGTGCACGGGCTGCAGCTCGAGAGAAAAAGAAAAGAAGACAGAAATAAGGTTCACTTTCCGCATCTGAGACGGCCTTATTCTAGCTACAACGGCCATCTCGTGCGCGCCATCACGTAGGTCGAGCACGTAGCTACTGGACCGGACTGGAGGAGCCGATCTGCTCCGTTTCTAGCAGGCGACGATCCGGAGGCCGAGGCTGGTGCGCGCGAACTCGACGAGGCCGTCGATCTCGCTGTCGTCGATGTACCCGTCGCCGTCGGCGTCGGCGTAGGTGATGCCGCTCCTGCTCCTCCGCCGCGTGAACCGCACGCGCAGCGCCCGCATGGCGCGCCGCAGCTCGTCGCGGCTGATGCGCCCGTCCCGGTCCGCGTCGAACCGCCGGATCCACTCCTTGAACTCGTCCGCCGTCATGTCGTCGCCGGCGACGCACCGCTGCAGGCTCATCCTCGACGGTTTCAGGAAGCAGTGCAGAAGCGACATTCGCGCCAAACTGCTAATGTGCTTCCACTTAATATGTGTCGGACCGAGTGGGTGAGCCTGTCTGCACTGCCTTGGTGGCGCTTATATATCCGCGGACCGGCTCCACGGATCCGTGGGAAGAAATAATGGACATGGATATGACGAGATGGATATATGCGTCCCTATCTATCTAATGCCTGCCACCCCCTCTAAATTCGGATTCGGATTAAAACACGGAGAGTTTACAGCAGTACATAAACTTACGCCCAAATGCTATGTTGACAGATAAGTTAGCAACGACTAGCTAGCTCCGGTGATTTTGTTGTGCAAGTAGATAATGGACGCAGACAGATAAGAGATAACCATCTCGAGAATTAGTGGAGCGAAGAATATATGGACGCATACGAAATCGGTTGGAATAATATTGCTACTGTAGATCATATAATTGAACGGTCGTTGAAGGAATCAAGAATCAGTGGCACGTGGAGTGGGCAGGAAATGGCTACAGATAGCCCAGAATCGTGCAAAGGCAAACAAATAACTACCGGCACATAAGATGCGGATCTGTGAGGTGCAGCTGAGTGTTGCGTTACACAAAAATCTGACCTGATAACCATGCAAAAGATGGAACTGGATTCCTGGACCATGCGTCTAGGCATGTATCATATCGTGTCGAAGATTCTTCGGGTTTTTTCGAGGAAAGGAACCCACCAATTTCATTCGCGAAATTGAAGCGTCTTATATACATCCGCGCCACCATGAACAATCAAAGTCCAGGCACATCCGCACAGGACCCCCAAAACTGAAAACCCCACTGCAGTTTCTGAAAAACATGAAAACGTAGCATATCATAAACATAACTTCCAGGCTCTTCTCCAACTTACAACAGGTACAAAGATACTAAACCCCACTGAGGGAGTAGTACTCTACAAACAAAGTTATAGCCTACATGGCCACTCCATCAAAGAAAAATTCCATTATCAGCTCACTATTCATCAACCCCTACTGAGCGAATCTAGCAATCTGGAATCTATATTATGTTTACAACAGGTACAGAGACATACTCCCTCCGTTCGGAATTACTTGTCGCAGAAATGGATGTATCCAGATGTATTTTAGTTCTAGATACATCCATTTCCGAGACAAGTAATTCCGAACGGAGGGAGTACAAGCAAAGCTATAGCCTATAGGTATGCCAATGCCACTCCATCAAAAAAAAAATTCACTCCTGCTTATCAGCTCACTATTCATCACCACCCACCCAGACACACCTCGTCCAAATACATATTCCCTCTGTCCCATAATGTAAGACGTTTTTTGATATTAGTGGAGGGAGTATGTGTGAAAACTAGGGTAATATTTCTCAAGTTTGTCAACATGCATTAGTCTATTTTGAATCCGTTGCAACGAGAGTGAACCTTCTATCTCGGCCAGTGTAGTTCTAAAACCAATGCACTCATTGAAATTCTCACGTTTAGCATTGATACCTAAAGCTACACTAGCTACATTCCACAGATATTTAGGCAAGAGAAAAGAAAAGAACAAATGCTCCATCGTTTTGTGATCCCCACAAAGCTAGCAAATGTCAGAACAATGCCACCCCCATTTCAAGAAATTATCCCATGACAGGATTTATCTTTTATCACCAACCAAGAAAACACCTCTAACTTCGGTGCCAACTTGAAGGCCCACACTTGCTTGAAAGGGAAGTCGACTCGACTGAAGCGAGAAAATCCCAAACTTAAAATCCTTCATCTACCCTTCAGTGGCAGAGCTAGACGAAGATGTCGAGGGGGGGCTAAAGAGAAAACATGCATGCTTGGGGGGAGCTAGTTAGTACACTTTCT